AAAAAAAAAAAAAAAAAAATCTTGGACTCAGGCTTTTAAATGCTGTTAGCTACTGGTTTGGCCTCTAGCATCGTGAATGGAGGATGGGATAGAAGCAGCAGGCAGCAGGGGAAGGCAGTGGCCATCAGCCAAGGGTGGTGCCAGGACGTGCACTCAGACCACTGCAGAACGGGGAATCTTCAATCAGACCGCAGAAGATGGCATTTGAGGGTGCCAATAAGGAAGGAAGAATTGGTCTTCCCAAGGCTCCTACCAAAACTTTCCTGTCAGTTTCAACTTCTACAAGGGACGAAATTAAGAAAATGCATGTGGTTAACAGTCGGTCAGTAGGTCTAAATAGTTTAGGGACCTGTTGTTGCAAATACATACCTGGAAGTGAATCTTGGGGAGTCTTCATATGTTTGACATCAAGATTTGCTGGTGCCATGAGGGGATTTAGAAACCTTCCTTTGGCCAGTATTTATTTGGGACCCTGGTGCATGGAAGCAGTGAACAAAGCAGGTGAGACCTTGCTCTCGTGGAATTTTCTCGAGGGGACAGACGAACAATACACACACGTAAGTGCTGTGAAAGGAGGCAGAGTAGCAGCAGGCAGCAGGCCAGGGTGGGACATTTTCTTTCTTCTTTTTATTTCAGGCTCCTTTATTCCATGAATATTTACAGAACATGAACTATAGGCAAACACTGACACAATCATTGAAGATCACATTGGGACAAATATATCAATTTTATAAGGAAACAAAAGCATTATCTACAAACCAATTATGAGATAAATGTGCCCATTACCACCACTTCTAGTAAAGTTGAAGATCCTGGCTTGGCGCCTGTGGCTCAAGTGGCTAAAGCACCAGCCACATACACCTAAGGTGGTGGGTTCAAATCCAGCCAGGGCCCACCAAACAACAATGATGGCTGCAACCAAAAAAAAACAATAGCCGGGCGTTGTGGTGGGTGCCTGTGGTCCCAGCTACTTGGGAGGCTGAGGCAGGACACTTGCTTGAGCCCAGGAGTTGGAGGTTGCTATGAGCTGTGAGGCCATGGCACTCTACCCAGGGGGACAGCTTGAGGCTCTGTCTCAAAAAAAAAAAAAAAGTTGAAGATTCTAACTAATACAATTATGATAACTTAAAAATCCCAATGGTTTGTAAAAAAAAAATACAAATTTCATTACTTCTGAGTTACCAAGTTACTTGCAAGTTACCAAAAACAATAGAAAAATTCAGCAATGTAGCTAACTTCAAAATAACTATACAAAATCAATTATATTCCTATGTAAAAAAGAATTACAAAATAATATTAGAAAAAGAAAGATAGCATTGTATCAGCAACCAAAATAGAAAGTACCTATCAATATAGCTTTAACAAGAGCTGTGCAATTTTTTTTTGAATCATTTACTACTTGTTTGTTACAGAATACACAAGACAAAATACAAATAGCAAACAAATTTTTTTCCTTATTATGTTTTTACCAAAGTCTAAAAAAAATTGATGACTAATATAATAAAATAAAAGTGAAAAATCATTTCTAAAAAAAAAAAAAAAAGTAGGTCACGCCAAGTCTTGTAGATAGTAGAAATAGAAATACTTCAAAATCATTCTACTTAGTCTGGATACCCTGATAGTAAAATTAGAAAAAATATATTATTATAAAGGGGAAATTACAGACATATTTCACTGATGAATAAGGATACAATATGATAAACAACATATTGACATGCTGAATTAAAAATTGATGTTTAAGTAATATACAGTGATCAAAATTAAATCCAGTTTGTGTGAGAATTAGTCTTTTTTTTTTTTTTGCCCACACCCCCTCGCTTCTTCTCTGCCTGATCTCCCCTTCCCCTATGCCCCACCATGTCATTAATTGTCATTAACTGTCTTCACATCAAAGTTGAATACATAGGATTCTTACTTCTCCATTCCTGTGATGCTTCACTAAGAATAATGTGTTCCAATAATGTAGCTTTGAGAGAGAGAGGAACTGGGGAGGACGCTGGGGCCTGTGGCTGAGCTTCTGGGAAGGAGGGAGGAGCGCTGGCCAGCTGGGAGGGCTGAGTAGCTGCGGACCTGGTCATGCTGGTTTGAGAGGCACCAGAGACATGTACTGCTTCCCTAGTTACACAGCAGAGCATCTTGATGATTGGTTGTTGGGGGGAAATCCAAAGCGCAGATGATCCTCCCCAAGACGAGGTTCAGTAATGGTTCATGTGCTTCTCCACAGTGTTTGCCAGGTACGTCTAAGGCACACGTGCTTACAGATCTAAAATTTGTATAAAAAAGTGAGGATTATGTGAACTGTTTTATCATTTGCTTTTTAACATACTACGTTAATATTTTTTAAATTAAGCTTTGTATTTGAGGTAATCGTAGATCCCACCTGTCCTTTGCCCAGTTGCCCCTGATGGTGACACTCTGAGTGCAGAGTGATCTGCTCTGTCCCCTGGGCCTCCTCCTGGTTCCTGTCTATAGCGCCACTCCTTCCCCACTACTCTCCCCTTCACCCCAGCCTACAGCCTCTTCTGCAATTTTGTCATTTCAAGAATGTCATGCAAATGGAATCCGAATCTTGGGGTGGGCTCTTTCCCCAGCATACTCCTCTGGAGAGTCTCCTGGGTGGCTCTGGGACTCCGTGCTTCGTTCCTTCTTACCACTGGTCGAATGGGATGCCGGCGCCAGCTCCTACATTTATCCAGAGATGCTACCACTTCTCTGACATGTGGGGCTTCTCTCAAAAGTGTTTCTGCTAAAAGAAGTTTTTAAAAATCACAGTCAGGTGCAGAAGCTCGCACTCTATAACCTTAGTCCTTTGGAAGGCTGAAGCAGAAAGATCACCTGAAGCCGGGCAGTTCAAAACCAGCTTTGGCAACATAGCAAGTTGCTATCTCTGCAAAAAATTTTTAAATTAGCTGGATGTGGTCATCCATGTCTGTAGTCCTAGCTACTCAGGAGGCTGAGCCAAGATGACTGTTTGAGCTTAGGAGGTGGAGGTCACAGTGAGCTATGATGACACCCTGTACTCTAGACTGGGTGGCAGAGTGAGACCGTCCCTCAAAGGTAATTAAATAATTTAATAAAAAGTAAAACTCACTCACCTTAGTGCGTGTCCCTGTGTCACATTTTCTTAACCATCTTATTTTCCTGATGCAAAAAAAAAAAAGAAAGAAAGAAAAAAAACTAACAATAACAATATAAATTTTGGGCAGGATACTGTTATTATCACTCTGTCATGCCTCAACTTTGCAGTGTTATCTAGTTTTAAAGGCTGCCGCCGTACTGTATGCCATTTTGTAGTATTTTTGTTTCCAGTTAATATTGTATTAACTGCTTTCAATAAGGTTATATAATATTCCTAATATAGGATTTTCTGAATTTTTATAAATAGAGTAATACCCATCTCTATATCAAAATTATCATAACCATTCCGTTATTTCCTGCTACACTGGTCTCTTGTGTATATCCACTAGATTTCTACAGCATTGTTCTTACTGATTGCAATAGCATGCTGCTTCCCCGTTGTGGAACAATTAGATCATTTCTCTTTTTTCTATCCTATCAGCAATGCTGTAAATGATCAACCTTGTGTCCAAATCTTTGTCTGGGTTTCTGATCAGTTCCATAGAATAAAGTCCTAGAAGTGAGATTACTAAGTGAAAAAAAGATGAGCATTTTTGGTATTCTTAATGCAAATTGCCAAATGCCCATTTGAGAAGCGTGACCCCCGCCCCCTTAGATTGGCGCCTACGGCTCAAGTGGCTAAGGCACCAGCCACATACACCTAAGGTGGCGGGTTCGAATCCCCAGCCCGAGCCCACCAAATAACAATGATGGCTGCAACCAAAAAATAGCCGGGCATTGTGGCGGGTGCCCGTTGTGCCAGCTACTTGGGAGGCTGAGGCAGGAGACTTGCTTGAGCCCAGGAGTTGGAGGTTGCTGTGAGCTGTGATGCCACAGCACTCTACCCAGGGGACAGCTTGAGGCTCTGTCTCAAAAAAAAAAAAAAAGAGAAGTGTGATCCCCGAGCAGAGTGAGAACCCTCCTCCTTTACATGGGGGTTACCATGTAAAAAGTCTTTGCTGACGGCGGGTTATTTTCCAAGTACGGAGTTACATCTTTAGGCTCTGTAGCACTTTTCATTCCTTAAATCATCCTTAGGTAAAAATGCCAATGTGATGCTAAGATTAGGGGGAAAAAGACTAAAACTGTAGGGCAAGGCCAGCGGCCAGGTTACCTGTGGAATCGCCCACTGGCAGCACGGGCACAGGGCTGATGTTGACCATTGGAGCAGAGCCCTGGGGCGCTGAGGCTGAGGATGTGGTAGGGTCCCAGGCTCACTGGTGTCCCTCTCCCTTCTGACACAGACCCGTGCTGGCGATCGTGGAGGTGGAAGTACAAGAAGTCGATGTGGGTGCTCGGGACAGGGTCTTCCAGGAAGTGTCCTCTTTCCAGGGCCCCCCGGATGCCACTGTTGTAGTAAACCTTCAGTCACCCACCTCAGAGGAGAAAAATGAGTTTCCTGAGGACCTGCGCACTGAACTCATGGATACCCTGGGCAATTACGGGACAATCGTCCTTGTCAGGTGACCAGGGCCTTGCTGGTGTAGGCTGGGGGTGTCAGTGAGGACCCGCTAGGGCTGCAGAATTATTCTTGGCATTGATGGGACCAACTTCATTCATTCCAGGATCAACCAAGGGCAGATGCTGGTGACATTTGCAGACAGTCACTCGGCTCTCAGCGTCCTGGATGTGGACGGCATGAAGGTACGTCGTGCTTGGTCACACTGTGAAGTGGGTCCAATGATCCCTACTGGCACGGGGTCGCGTCTTTCCCTCTCCTCTTGCCCCCGCCCGCACCCAGCCTGTGTCTTCTTGTGAAGGCAGCACCCTAGGGAGGAACTTGCGCCCCTCATTGTGGTTCTGAGGGGCCTCGTCTCCAGCCCTAGCTACTTTCAGAATTAGAGAGGAAGAGTGAGTTTGAAGTGTTTCCCCCGAGTCACTTGGTCTGCCTTTGCTCACACCTGCACATGGTGCAGTGCCAATCTTTCTCTTAGAGTTGCCTTTCCGGACACACAGCTCACAGGTTGATAATATACTGGTTTTACATTTGTGCTGAGTGGGAAGCTGGAGATGATAGCTCACCTTTGGGCCGCACGAGTGAGAGCTATGCCAAGCCTGCCCAGGGTTCGGGCCCTCAGCTTTTCTTGGCTAAACAAGATGGGCCTTGCTTTTCGTGCCTGGGTTTGAGTAAGAAACGCTGGGTGATCAAAGGGACTTGTTATGACTTTTGGGTTTCTCCTCGGATGCTGCTGCCCTCACAGGTGAAAGGCAGAGCTGTGAAAATCAGACCAAAGACCAAGGACTGGCTGAAAGGCTTGCGAGAGGAGATCGTCCGGAAACGGGACAGCATGGCCCCCGTGTCGCCCACTGCCAACTCCTGTTTGCTGGAGGAAAACTTTGACTTCACAAGTCTGGACTACGAGTCAGAAGGTTAGTGACCCTGCCGGAGGGGAAGGTGGGCAGTTCTGTCAGCAGTAGGCATGAGATTCTAAAGATCTGCTCTAGAAGTCTGCTCTCCAAAGCCTACGGAGGTGCCTGATGGGCTGGGCAGTGCCCACGTGTGGGGAGGACGAACTTGTGGTGCATGGGACCCCGGGATGTCTGGACTTAATTATAGACAGTGGCTTTGAGGCCGTTAGGGCTGTGGCGAGAGTGGGGTTGGGGTACCGTCCTGCTGACGGGTGGGGCCTGGGCCTTGAGGAGATGTGCGGAGGTGTCCCAGTAAGAACACTCTGCCTTCTGTCCTGGTCATCTACATTCTGACTGTGGCTCCTGTCTCTCTCCCAGGAGATATTCTTGAAGAGGACGAGGACTACTTGGTAGACGAATTCAGCCAGGCTCTGGCCTTAGACGGTGAACTGGGAGGAGAAGACTTTCCTGGTGTCCCCAGCTCCACAGCAGTGGCTCCTCCCAGCACGTCACCTGTGCTCACCAAAAAGAAGCAGTGTCCCACGTACAAAGGTAGCTCAACTCTCCTTTTCTCAGTAGCCTCCGGCTTGGAGCTCACTCCAGGCAGCCTGTTCTCTCGCTCAGCAGCCAAGTGCAGCCAACTGTAGCCAAGTGCACGTCCAGGTCCCAGGCCTGCCTGAGCCGGGAGTCATAGTAAGCAGTGGGACCCAAGCCCAGGGAGGTGTCTAGCTGCCACATAGATTTCCTCTAGTGACTATTTCTTAAAACAACTTGTATCCCTAAAACACACCAGAGTCAAGATGATGTGTCTCCTATCTATTCAAAAAGCCACGGCTCTGAACTGGTTTTATATTTGTGTTTTTTTTCTCAGAATTTTTCTGATTCAGTCCTATAAGAGACATATTCAATATCTGTGGCCTGAGTTGCTGGTTAATTGTTACATTTTTTAATACTATATTGCCATATAGCCATCATTCAGTCACATCATGCTATCATTTTATACTTTAAGTAAAGAGGGCCTGAAAGGTCATATGGATTGAACCATACACCCCAAGATTAAGTAGTACCGTAACTGTTTTGAATAAGTTTTAAAACCCACCAGCATTACTTGGCTGGCAAGTAGGTAGTTCATATTTCAGCATCAGCCAAAAATGCATCCAGTCCATCATGTCCCCAGTCAGAGGACAGCTCTAACCAGCAGGTGCTTAGTCATGTGTCGGGACCCTTGAGCTGGGAGTGAAAACAGAAAACAGGGCTGAGAGTGAATTAAGGTGCTTCCTAAGGAGAGTTTAAAGATTCCCAAGCCCCTTTGGCTGTAAAACAGTCTGCAAACAGATCAATAGTTTGCCCACACCAAGCAGCAGATTACAGACCCTAGCCAGGGAGATGTGGATTTGGCAGGGGCAGGGTGGGACCCTGGGAGTCTGGATTTCATGAAGCTTCCCAGGTGGTTTGCGTGCACAGCCAGGTTTGAGGAAGCTGCAGCTGCAGGGCGTGACCGGGGTTCTGTGTGTTGCTGGTGCACAAAGCTCCTGCCTGGTGTTGAAGCAGTGGAGGGATATGCTCTTTGGAGAAGAGGTGGCCCTTTTCTCTGGGGGTGGCTGTCATTGAGGCAGTCTCTGGAGCCAGGGCAGGTGTGAACACAAATGTCTCTCTGCCTGAAGAAGTGAATAGAACAGCGTGGGTTGACGTGGGTGGCCTTGCCACCTGGTGGGCATCAAGAGGACAGCTCCTCGATGCTGTGGGTTCCCTTTAGAAGAAGTCCTGGCTCTCCCAGTTCCAGCCTCAAAGATACATGGGATGGAGCTGTGGATCTGAGGGATGGGGTGTGTGAGTCCAGATGAGGCACAGAGGGCTGTGCTGTGTGGGACAGAAGGCCTGAGTCTGTAACAGGACAGGAGCACGTGCCCCCTCAGTCCCCTTCAGCTTCCTGGAAGCCACGTGCAGAGCAGGGGAGCAGGGAAGTAGCTTTTAGGATTTGAGGTCTTGATGCTCCACCCTAGGAACTTGGCCTTGGGTGCCAGGCAGTCCAGCTGCCTGGGAAGGGAAAGTATTCTCAGCTTCCAACACAGTTGCCATGTTTCAGAGTGAGGAATTAAGCGTCTCTGTGGCTGAGTGAATCTCTGGGGCTGTGGTTTTCAGCTGTCTCCTCTTCTTTGTGTGGCAGTCTTTTTGATTGTTTCACGTGAAAATACACCTACACTTTAAAGCAGTGGTCCCCAAACTTTTTGGCACCAGAGACCAGTCTCCTGGAAGGCAATTTTTCCATAGGCAGGGAGTAGGGGGTAGATCTTAGTACAACCTAGATCCCTCCTTGCACGCAGTTTGCAGTGGGGTTCCTGCTGCTCTGAGGATCTAATACTGCTACTGATTTGACAGGAGGTGGAGCTCAAGGGGTGATGCAATCAATGGGAAGCAGCTGTAAATCCGTGAAGCTTCCCTCACTTGCCCACCACTCACCTCCTGCTGTGCAGTCTGGTTCCTAACAGGCCATGGACCAGTACCAGTCCAGGAGGTCGGAGACCACAGCTTTAAAGTATTTCAGCATCTCTCAAGTCTGGACAATAAACCTTGTCAGCAGTTTATCGAATGTTCCGAGCAGGCATTGGGTGCCCTGCCCCTGCCCTCGCCTGTCTCCGCACAGAGCCAGGCTGCCCCACAGCGGGTGCACATGCCACAGTCAGCTTCCTGTGCGTAGACCCAGGTCTGACACGCACATTTGGAAAATGCATCTTCCTCACGACCCACCATATCCTCCAGATGACGCGGACCTTGTGGAGCTAAAGCAGGAGCTGGAAGCAGTTGGGAATTTCCGACACCGTTCTCCAAGCAGGTCTCTGTCGGTCCCCAATAGGCCTCGGCCACCTCACCCACCGCAGAGACCCCCCCCTCCAAGTAAGGCTCTGCCCGCTTTCGCCTTGCCCCGATGCCTGCTGGGAATAACTTCCCCTTTCCTCCTCCCAAGCTCTGGCTCCAGATCCGCCTCTCCCAGCCTTGAGTCCCCACAGCACTTCTCTCCCGTGGCTCCTTTTTGTCATAAATCCAGGACGTGTCAGATGTTGGAGATCGCATGGTTCTCGTGGCGAGGGAAACTCTTCCCTCCACACACTGTCCCCTGCCTTTGCTTTCTCTGCTTTCAGCTGGAGACCTCACGGAGTGGTGATGTGGCACCGCAGCACGGGAGGGGCTGTCTAGCTCGGCAGGGGCAGGTGCCCCCCTCGGCTGCCTCTGGGTCTTCTCTCTACTTACTAGGATCTAGTAACCCCAGGCCCTAACCCGAAGGTGACCTGGGTCACCCCTCTGGGAGCCAACCCGAGGACTCCGAGGACAAGCTCTTCCTCCACCCAGCCTTTAGAGGATCAGTTTTCTTCCAGCTTTCCAACTTCCCTACTAACCTGCGAATGAAGTTGTGACATGCATCTGACCAGCTTCCATTTTATCTCTACAGTTTACTTCTCCCCAACAAAAATTGTGACTGTCAGATTTGCCTTGGCCGTCACTTTCAGAATTGGGTTTATCGCGGCTTGTGTCACAATAGTGATCTTGGGCAAGCCAGAAGCACGTGCTTTTTAAGCCTATTTTTGCTTTTCTGAGCTTGTACTCAGAAAACAAAATATAAAAATAACATGAAAATGAAATGTATAAATTATATTATTGTGGACATTTTACAAAAATCGAGAACAATAAAGAAGAATGAAATTTGAAAATTCGCTTGACCATCTACAGATAGTCGTTAACCAGCAGACTTCTAGCCTCTTTCTAGTTAGATAAATCTATAGTTAAACAGATGTTAATTTTATAAACTCACCCAGTTTTCTTGGTCAAGTTATCTTTCCTTCATTTATTGTGTCCTACATTGTGTCATTAAATGTTCTAAGATATGATTTGTTAAGGGCTGCAAGTATAATTTAACACAGTTTATTTTGCTGCTTTGGGATCTACTTATTTATTCTTAGATTTTCTTTTCCCTACATGATATTTTAAAAATTTGGTCCTAATAATACCAATGTTTTCTTTGTTGTTTTCTTTTGTTTTTGAGACAGAATCTCACTTCATTGCCCTCGGTAGAGTGCCACGGTGTCATAGCTCATAGCAACCTCAAGCTCTTGGGCACAAGCGATCCTCTTGCCTCAGCTTCCCAAGTAGCTGGGACTAAAGGCACCCTGCCACAACGCCCAGATATTTTTAGAGACAGGGCCTCGCTCTTGCTCAGGCTGGTCTTGAACTCCTGGGCTCAGGCTATCCACCCACCTCAGCCTCCCAGAGTGCTAGGATCATATGCGTGAGCCACTGTGCCCAGCCTAATAAGACTAATGTTTTTAACCAATGAAGAAACAGTTGGTTTTTATATGAGATTTGGAGCCCCCAGGATGTTAGGTTAAAATTTTTATTTGGATATGCTTCTCCAGAGCTTGCACATTAAAAGGCACAGCTGCATGGCCCAAGAGAAGCCCACAGGTCCTCAGCCAGCCCCGTTCCGTGCACCTCAGCCCTGCACCATACCTGCGTCTGCCTGGCGTCTGCCTCACCTACCCTGGCTTCTTGCAGCTGGCAGGGGAGTCCTGACTTCACTGAGACTGAGATTCTGCCCTCGTTGGTTTTTACAGCTGGTTTCCTGGTGAAAAAGTCAGCGTCAGATGTGTCCATCTCCTCTGGCACCCATGGGCAGTATTCCATTTTGCAGACGGCGAGACTCTTGCCAGGAGCCCCTCAGCAACCAGTGAGTTCCTCTGTATTCAGCTCAGGGTAAAGCAGCTGGGCATTGGACTCCCGCAGGGTTGGCCCTGGGTGGCATAGGGTCACCTGTTTTCAGTGAACAGATATCTGTGTTACTTTCTTCCTGTCTACTACCTTGTCTCCAAGCCCAATAACTCTTAATAGCAGGTCCTTTGTAGGGCTTTTAAGTGGTTGTATAGAATGTTCTAAAGAAAATCACTTCTGATGAAAAAAATCCCCAGTGTCCCTGTGCCAGGGCGTTGCTAGTTTCTGGACCTCATCTGTCCTCACCCTTCTGATTCTTGCCTTTTCCCTTGGTGGTCTGTAGAAGGGAAAGAGGAGAAATTCACATCAGTCATCCTGAGAAAATGATCATTCAGGCATAAAGTTGGTTGAGAGAAGAGACTAAAAAGAGACCTACTAACCCAAACTGCAAAGTAAGGGGACACTAGCAAGAATCAGTCACAGACCTCCTAAGGAAAAGAAATCAAAACAAACAAATTTAAAAAGATTAAAAAAAAAAAGAATCATAGTCATACAGGGTTGTGGAGGTGGAGGGTTCCAGAGAGTTCTGTGAGCTGCTGGTTCAGAGTGTGGGTAAAAGGTCAGTGGAACAGAGGGTGCGACAGGAAGCTGGGTACTGGGTGACAGCTGCTGTGCCCCACGATGCCATCCGACAGCCTGGAGAGCTGGGCCTGGCTGGTGCTGAGGCAGCCACAGTGGGGGTGGAGATTGACCAGATGCTAGTGGTTTACAATGATGGACGTAGGTGAACAGCTCACATCCTGGGTGGAGAGTAGAAAGGGTACTTTTAAGAAAACATGTCTGGAAGGTGATTTATAACTCAGGAGCCCACAGGAGAGGCCTCTGATTCTGCCTTCTGGATTTTACCCAGTTACTAAAATAAAGATGGTTTGTCCACATACAAAAACCTGTAACCACCCAGTGCGGGAGTTCTCAATATCCTGGCATTCCTCTCCCTAGGGGCATGCTCCTGGGGAAGGGGTGGCGGGCACAGGGGAGAGGGAAGTTTGTGTTTTCTGGCTGTCTGTGAGTTTCCTACTCTGTATGGACCAGCAGATAGTGGGTGTGCATGTGAGGCTCTTTTCTTGCCTGTGCTAAGTCACATCTCTTCCTAATTCTGTCCTCAAGCCCAAAGCTAGGACTGGAATAAGCAAGCCTTATAATGTGAAGCAGATCAAAACCACCAACGCTCGGGAGGCGGAAGCAGCGATCCGGTGCCTCCTGGAGGCCCAAGGAGGTGGGTGCTCCCCTGGGGCTCTTCTCCACAACTAAGGAGAAGAAATGATTCTCCTCCTCATCTTCCCACTAAAAGAGATTTAGAAAAGAAAATAAGTTTGTTTTTCACTTTTCTGGCGGCAGTAATAAATAAAAGTACCCTTTAGCAACATATAAGTACTAAGATTTATTGTCCATTCAAAATTGTATATTTATAATTCAGTAAATAAATAAAAATAATTCCATGATTATTAAGCAGCATCTAAGGAACTGAAATAAAAATGAATTTTTTAAAAGGCTAATGCAGCAGGCACTGTCATCCTGCCAGCTCTGTGAAGAGACAAGTAGAGTGTGTGCCCTTATCCCAGGCACAAAATCTACCTTTTAAATCATTGGCGAATGTAAATAAATTCCTAACTTCTGGGCAGGGAGGACCTCTTCTCCATACCTCTGCTAGTGTTTGATTGCTGTCACTTCATTTAACCCATGTTAACCACCTTCATTTAAAATCATTTGTTCAGGACTGGGTGTGGTAGCTCGTGCCTCTAATCCCAGCACTCTGGTAGGCCAGGGGTGGGGTGGGGGAGGATCGATTGAGCTCATAAGTTTGACACCAACCTGAGCAAGAGCAAGACCTGATCTCTAAAAAAATAGCTGAGAGTTGTGGTGGGCACCTGAAATCCCAGCTACTTGGGAGGCTGAGGCAAGAGGATCACTTAAGCTCAAGAGTTTGAGGTTGCTGTGATCTGTGAAGCTACGGCACTCTACCAGGGGCAAGAAAGTGAACCTTTGTCTCAGGTAGATAGATAGATAAAATCATTCATTCAGAATCACTGATGACTAACATTTTTTTTGTCTAGGTTGTGACCTTTTTCTGGAATCTCTTTTGCTGAGGGGAGATTGTGCCTTCTGAAAAGACACATGTGAGGCTAGTTATCTGATTTTGCTTTTAGCCAGTGTATCTAACTTGCTTGGAACCCTCAGATGATATCTAAGGAGGGCATGAGTTAAGAGGTTAAGATACACTGTTATAGGATAATACTGCCAAAAGTGGATTTTCTTTCTTTTTTTTTTTATTTTTTTTTAAGAGACAGTGTCTCACTTTATTGCTCTTGGTAGAGTGCCATGGCATCACAGCTAACAGCTACCTCCAACTCTTGGGCTTAGGCGATTCTCCTGCCTCAGCCTCCCAAGTAGCTGGGACTACAGGCGCCCACAACAACGCCCAGCTATTTTTTGTTGCAGTTTGGCTGGGGCTGGGTTTGAACCCGCCACCCTTGGTATATAGGGCCAGTGCCCTACTCACTGAGCCACAGGTGCCACCCGGGTTTTCTTCTTTAATTAAAAAAAAAAAAAAAACTAAAAATATGGATGTAACAACCCAAGTGTCCATCAGCTGTTAAATAGATAGATGAACCAAATATAGTACGTGCATACAATGGAATATTATTCAGCCATAACAGTAAGAAAAAGAATGCAGCACATACTCACGCTACATCACACCATGTGTGAACCTTGAAAACATTATCTTAAGTGAAATAAAATACAAAAGGCTCACTTTCTTGCCCGTGGTAGAGTGCCGTAGCTTCATAGCTCACAGCAACCTCAAACTCTTGGGCTTAAGCGATCCTCTTGCCTCAGCCTCCCAAGTAGCTGGGATTTCAGGTGCCCACCACAACTCTCAGCCTTATATGATCCCATTTTTATGAAATGTTAGGAGTTACCACTTCCATAGAGTCAGAAAGTTATTCATGGTTTCCAGGGGATGGGAGTTACCCATGATAGGTACGAGGTTTCTTTTTCCGGTAGTGAAAATGTTCTGGAATTAGAGAGTAAAAGTTATACAACTTCGTGTATACTGTAAGCCACAAATGGTACCTTAAAAACAGTGCATTTCACGGTATGTGGATTATATCTCAATAAAGCTGCTTTTTAAAAAAATTTGGAGATGTAGAAGTTAGTACAGGTTTGAAATCTGCCCATAGTCCCGATTTAACACTTGCTTGGTTGTGGGCCCACCAAAATTTTGATGCATTGGAAATCATCTTCCCTGAGAAGGGCCAGTCCACAGCTTGGCATGTGATCTCAGAGCCTCACTGGCCTCCCACCCCACCCATCCACAGGCCCCAGATCGCCACTCCAAGGCGAGCATGAGAAGCTGGGACCAAACCTAGCTATTCGATAGTGACACTCCTGAAAGATTTTTTTCTAGGAAGTTATCCTTTAAAGAGTAGAGCACGCAGTGGAGCACTTCCGCCTCTCCACATCAGCCATGCAATTTTGTGTTTCAGGTGCCCCAGAAGAAGCCCTAAGTTCCCTGGCTTTGAGGGACAAAGTATCTCCTGACCCAGAGCCCACACTGGGGGTGGCCAAGCCAGAGATTCCCCAGGTACCCCCACTCCTGCCCCGGCGGCCGGCACCCAGAGTTCCTGCCATCAAGAAGCCGACCTTGCGAAGGACAGGAAAGGTAAAAGCTGGCTGCCCACGCCTCTTACTCCTAAGTTGCCAGGAGGCCTTGTTGGGTGAGAATTGCATCTCGCACACTGTCTGGTTGGTTCTGGTCTCTGCACACACACTGTGAGTACCGGACACAGCGCATCTTTGAGGAAAGGCTGACACTCCTCTCTCCCTGCTGTGGCTCGACTCAGGCCGAGCATACAGTTCACTGTCTCTCTGCAGTTTCTCACTGTGACAAGAACAGCTTGGAGGTGTCCCACTTCTAAGTGTTCTGTGTCCCCGAGGGACACTGTGGGATGCGTTTCCCCCATGTGTGCCTGTGGTGCCGTTTGTGCCTGGTCTGTGTTGAGTGCGCGTGGTTCCTCACGTGGTTCCTGGCGTGCAGGTTTTATTGGCCAGACTAGCAGTCTGACAGACCGTCCCGCGGCCTGTCTGCTAGAGGCCCCATAGCTGGTCTCGCCACTTTTCTTGCAGATTGTTTTTTGCTCTCGCTCTCAAGCCTCTCAGCCTTGCTTACTGCTTCAAAGACATGAGTTTGTAAGGACAGTAGCAGCCCAAAGATTGGCACCTATAGACACATCTGGATCTTCCGTGTGATCTCGGTGTTCTAGGAACGGACCCTCGGTAATCCCGTGTCTGCCCGCAGCCTGACCGCTGCCTGCCCACCTGCCGTGGGGAGTGTGAGCCGTCACCTTGGCCCTGCACTCCTGACGAGCTGGCTTTGTGTTTTCTGGGTTGCTTTGCTATCCCTCTCTGGATCGTTGCTCTCTGACCAGTTTCCATGCCTTCTTACAAAGTAGACTTTTTCCCTCCTCATCCCTGTTCAGATGCTCCTCGACTTACATCCAATAAGCCTGTCATAAGTTGGAAATATCATTAGGTTGAAAACTCATTTAACACACCTAACTCGCTGAATCTCACGGTTCAGCCTGGCCTGCCTTAAATGTGCTGAGACTACTTAGCCTACAGGTAGGCAACATTATCCAACACAAAACCTAGTTTATAATACTAAAAAGACCAATATTTGAAGTATGCTTTTGTACTAAATTTGTATCACTTTCACAGCATCGTAAAGTTGAAAAACTATTAAGTCAAAACCACAGTGAGTCGGGGACTGTCTGCTTTGTCTTTTAAAAGCCAGGAGCAGAAATGGAGACACTTTTCCAGTCTGCCACATAGGAGTTAAAGGTCGTTAGAGAAGGGATTATTTTCTTAGTTTGTTTTCTAAAGAACCAAAGGAAATACCACAATGCCAATGGTTAGGTACTGATGGCCGTTTCGTATAAAAGCTTCATTCTGTTCCATGCTGTCGTTTAGGGTGTTTGGTGATAGATGTGACTCGTAACTGGGGAAGAGAAGTCCCCATGGGAAGTTTCCACCCATCTGTATTGAAAGACAAAAGACTGGGCTCGGCGCCTATAGCTCAACCGGCTAAGGCGCCAGCCACGTACACCTAAGGTGGCGAGTTCGAATCCCCAGCCCAGACCCGCCAAACAACAATGACGGCTGCAACCAAAAAATAGCCGGGCGTTGTGGCGGGCGCCTGTGGTCCCAGCTACTTGGGAGGCGGAGGCAGGAGACTCGCTTGAGCCCAGGAGTTGGAGGTTGCTGTGAGCTGTAATGCCACGGCACTCTACCCAGGGGGACAGCTTGAGGCTCTGTCTCAAAAAAAAAAAAAGACAAAAGACTGCAGGAGAAACCGCATCCATTAGTGCTGTAACTGAGTCACCCACCCCAGCGTGGTACAGACTGTAGTTATTAGGCCAAGCTGCATCTTCAAAGAGTGTTCTTCAGAGAGGTTTGTTTTTACAAGGGAAGAGCATAACTCATTTCATAAGGTTTCAAAGAAAACTTTGCCTCAAGTTACTCGCCGTGGCCCTGGTTTTAAAACTCCCACTCATCTTTCGTTGGACATGCTGGTGACCTGTGTGTGTTTCTCCCGTGCGTTTCTGGCCTGGTCGTGTTTCAGCTTCCCAGCATCCTCAGATCTCAGATTTGCTAGCATGTCCACTTAATCTCATGTCTGTCCCCTGCTGACCGCTGCGTGTCCTCTGATTCTCAGCTTCCCAGTGTCGGCTGCTTACTTACCCTCTCCATCTTGCCTTTTCTCAGCCCCTGTCACCGGATGAACAGTCTGAGCCGCAGACTGTCCATTTTACAGTTGGGTCCCCAGAGACAAGCCTCGAAAACCCTCTTCTAGCTGAGGTCCCTCGAGTTCCTCCTGTTCCCAAACCAAGAACATCTCAGCCTGGGAAAGGAGTGGACAGGAGACCAGTCAGAGGGAAGCCAGCGCCAGCTGAAGCTCCTCTCTTGGCAGAAGCCACCATGCCACCACCTCTGGAGGCTCTGTCTCTTGCACCTAAGGTGCCTCCAAGGAGGAAGAAGTCAGCCCCGGCAGTCTTCCACCTGCCGAGCAGCAGCCAACCTCTCCAGGGTCTCACTTGTGGCAGTGGTGGTGGCAGCGACAGTGGCTGTGCCTCTGGAACCCCACCTGACATAGGCGTTTTCTTCCCATCCGTGGATTTTCTTGGCACTTCACCTGCCACAAGCCCCGAAACTCATGACACCAAAGTGACAAAGTCAGACACAGGCTCCCTTCTTGGGGACTATCAAGATCCGTTCTGGAGCCTCCTCCACCCTAAACTGCTGAGTAATGCCTGGCTCTCCAAGAGCTCTGACCCTTTGGACTCAGGGACCAGGGCCCCTAAAACAGCACCCACAGACCCAGCGCAAGCCAGTGCTTCAGCTGCCAAGGTGGAGCTGCCATCAGACTGTGGGCAACAAAATTTAAGTCACTGGGTGACAATCAGTGACAACGACAAGAGGACGGTGTTGCAGGTGTTTGACCCCCTGGCAAACACATGACTGAGTGACTCAGAAGGCCCCTCTCACAGAGTGTGTCACTTCTTCCTCCAGGCATCACTTAACTGAGTCAAAAGAGACGTCTATTTAAAGGCACACTGAAAAAACTTCTGTGCACCTGTCACTCTTGTGTAGTTTACAAAAATTCTGTCTCTCATTCAGTAAGGTTATTACACAGCCACCAAAATATGTTCTATTCAAGACTTGTACATTTTACATTTCCTCTTAGGAGAAGGGGAACTCCTTTGAAATTCAGTGTATGGGCTCGGCGCCTATAGCTCAACTGGCTAAGGCGCCAGCCACGTGCACCTAAGGTGGCGGGTTCGAATCCCCAGCCCGGACCTGCCAAACAACAATGACGGCTGCAACCAAAAAATAGCCGGGCGTTGTGGCG